CCTAAGATGCTCAACATGCTCCTCAAGAGTCTGGCTATAAACAACTATGTCATCCAAATAAATCATCATGAAGCGGTCCAAGTATTCCCGAAATACATTGGTCATTAAGTTACAGAATGTAGCAGGGGCATTGGTTAAGCCGAAAGGCATAACTAAAAACTCATATGACCCGTACCTTGTCACACAAGTAGTCTTCGCCTCATCTCCCTCTGCAATTCTGACTTGATGATATCCCAGCCACAAATCCATCTTGGTAAAGAAAACCGCCTTTCCCAATCTATCAAATAGTTCGTCGACAAGCGGCACTGGATAGTTGTTCTTGACAGTGACTTTGTTGAGCGCTCTGTAGTCTACACAAAGCCGTAAGGATCCATCCTTCTTCTTTTGAAACAGAACAGGAGCTCCATAGGGTGCCTTGGAAGGTTGAATGAACCCAATGTCCAATAACCCCCCAAGTTGTCTCCTTAGCTCCGCCAATTCTGATGGAGACATTCGATAAGGAGCCTGTGCGGGGATTTTTGCCCCTGGTATTAACTCTATGGCATGGTCAATCTCCCGTCTTGGCGGTAACCTTGCTGGCAATTCTTTAGGTGCCACATCCTTGAACTCAACCAGCAACTGTTGTACTGATTCAGGGACTTGAAATGCTTTGGACTCCTCTTCCTCAAATAGAACAGCCAAGTATGTTGCCTCCCCTTTTCGCAAGCCATCTTTTACTTGTAAGACAGACAGCATTTCCCCCGAAGACTTGACTTTGGTGAGGGGAACAAAACAAGGATTGGGCATGTCCATTACGAACATCCCATTTAAATGCAGCATAACAGACACCATTGCCTTTGTAAGGAATTGCAGTCCAAGGATTACCTGGAAATCATCGAGAGGGACTGCCATAAAATCACATGTTCCTTGCCAATCACCCACTTTTAGAGGGACTTCTCTTGCGATGCCGCCTACTGGTTTTGCTTCTGAATTAACAGCCTTAATCTGGCTAGAGTCTTTCACCAAAGCCAGACCAAGCCGCTGTACTTCCCGATCAGAAACAAAATTATGGGTTGCACCTGTATCGACCATTGCCTGGACAGCCACATTGTTCAGGCGAATCTGCACAAACATCAACCCCCTCTTTGCCATTGTCTCCTCTTTGCGAATTGCATTAAGAAGTTGTAATGGGTTGACTCGTGTTGGTTCGTCAGAACAATCAGTTTCCTTAGCCATGAGGGCACTGAGCTTTTCCTTCTTGGGGCAATTTCTGGCACGATGAGGGCCATTACAGATAAAACATCCTGAGTCAACACCTCCCTTTGATGAAGAGGTTTTGTCAGTCTGTTTTTCTGAATTGCCAAACTTCTCAGCCTTTTTCTTCTGCTTATCCTTCTTAGCAAAATTGGCTTTCCCTTTCGACTCCTTCTCTAGAGGATTAGCCTGCGTTTTGTAATCAACCAGCGCGTCTGCTGCGGACATAGCAGCGGGTAAATCCTTCACCCCTTGCCGACGAAGTTCTGCCTGTGCCCAAGTTTGGAGGCCAGACATAAAGTTGAACAGTTTGTCTTCCTCTGACATATTTTTAATGTCAAGCATCAGAGACGAGAATTGCTTCACGTACTCTCTCACGGTGCTTGTATGTCAAAGTTTCCTCAATGCATCACTGGCTTGCCAAACCGTGTTGCTTGGAAGAAATTGCTCCTTCATTTCAGCGGACAGAGACTTCCAAGTAGTAATTGGAAGACGAGATTTGTCCTCAGAACGTGTTCGCCACCATAATGTAGCATCACCGGACAGGTACATGCTAGTGAGATCTACCTTCTCAGCATCCGGAGTACGGACTGCTTTGAAGTAATGTCCCATATCCCACATAAAATTCTCGAGTTCTTTAGCATTTCGATTGCCTGTGAAAGGCTTAGGGTCAAGCACTTTAGCTTTCTGAGTGTTTTCACTGCCAGAAGCCACAGGGGCATTCTGCAATGCCCTCTTAAGCACTGAAACGTCGGTCTTGAGGAAACTCAATTTTTTCCCCATATCATCGGTCCATGTGGAGATCGTAGCCAACACGTCAACGACTTCGTTTTTCACTCGACTGAAGTGATCAGATTCAGTCTTTTGAAGTTGTTCCTGTGCAACACGCATCTCTTCGAACCGCTGATATAGCAACTCAATCTGCACAGAGAGAGCTACAGCATCACCAGACTGTGAAGGACCAACCAGCTCCTCCAACCGTGCCACCTTTTCCCTTAGATCAGCATTCGTTCCGCCAGCCATAATTGATATGTTGCCAAAATCACGCTTTGATACCAAATTGTCAGAGGGTAACTTTCGTTTTTCTTTTGAGGCTACCTGTGAAGGCGTTGCTATTACAACCAGCCACACTCAACTCAAGAATAAGGGACAGAAACTCACACAGAAGGCACACACGAATCTACTGGAACAACACTCCCAAACCTTATATATTAAACTCAACAATTTACAAGGACTCTCAAAAGCCAGAACACTCTCTACCTTCCAGAATGCTCAAGCACCTCTATTTATACATGAGGAAGGCAGATGACACCCCCATCTGCCAAGGGGTAGTTACCCACGTTTTTGCTATTCCATAGCATACTGGACTAGTAGACTTGGTCTCTGTGCAACACCTGGCAGGCAGTTCCACCACTTCAAGTAACTGCTGTGGAACTGCCCCTTCATCAGCATGCATCTAGACTGGATTCAGACTGGGGACATCCAGAACTGCCTCAACAACTGCCTTGATTGAGTCTCAGCATCATAACTGCCCACATCTTCCTGGTCACATGCATTGAGTAGCCATGTGCCAATCAGGTGCCCACATTCAACAGTCATGTGCCCACATTCACCAGTCAACCTTGCTACTCGAACCAATGTGCATGCTGGGTTCAACCCATGCCATGCAATCCGAAGCTCTGCACCCACATTGCTTCAATTGAGTCCACCCATGCTGCCATACTCAACCGGGTGGTCTCATGCTGTCTTAGTTCGCCCCAATCTATCGAACCATTTAACTGCGTCACCTTGATTCCAATTTCTGGCATACCTTGGTGCAAGGTGCCATCAAGACCGGTCATTTGCACCCAAGTCAATTAGGGTGTGACACTTAAGATCAGTACAAAGTGATTCATCATATTCAAATATGAGTCGATCATTCGTTAAGGACGATTTTTAGATCATAAAATTCCTACAAATAGAATGAGAAGTGGATCCATGTAAATGATTAATACCATCCAAACGATAATGCTCATTTTTCACATGGAGTTCAATTGTATCTTCTTTGTGTAAGTTAACGGTTGACCTAAGCCGCATCCTTAGTGCTAGGGTGGGGTTCGGCCTCCAAACTATACCTGGCCCAAGTTTCTGTCTCACATATTTTATAGTAAAAGTAATTTTATCAAAATTTAATTTATTAACTTAATTTATTATAATTTTTAAATTGATCGTAGGTCGCATCAAATATTAAAATTTGATGTTAATGATTTTTTACCGTGTAAATAGATGTATCTCTTGTGTATTAATTATCAAGAATAATGCAAATGTAATCCTATGAGGATTTTGTATGTCATGGATCATGGATGTATTCATTATTTAATACATTATTAGTTTTATATTCAATAAGCCTCAACACTCTCTTAATTTGAGTACTAAATCATTACATATTGATTATATTGTAACTCTATTATGAGTAACCAACCTTCACAATGCACCATACGTCTTATTAATTTGTAGATGAAGCATTGATAACAATTAGATAAGAGAGGAAAGTCATGAGCATTACATTCATGCATAGTTTTTACACTAATGTTAGCATGATAAAAGAACATTGTCCCAAATATTAATTACATTCTCTCGATTGAAAATGAAACTATTTAGATTGAAAGTCGCAATGCTCATACCTAAAACGTTGGATCTATTACAAGCAAAACAGTCTCTCTCTCACCTCTTTTTTCACTCTCTTTTTTATCACTTTTCCCCTTTAGATGACACCCACCTTTTTGTTGACTAAAGAAGAATAATAAAAATTATGAGATGATATCATTGATTAATAGGGTTACTTTGTCAAACAAGATTAGATAATTTTTTATTAAATAAAATAAATTAAAAATTTTGAATTAACAAAAGAAGGGAGACTTGTCTTAGTCATTTTCTCTAAAAAAATAATTGTTGTATTAATCAACTTATGCGATCTAGACTTCATAATTTTCCTAAAAATAAATTTGATTCAAATAGCATAAAATAACATTAAATACCTGAATTTAGATCATGATTAAGTAAAAATATTAAACATAATGATGACATCACCTCAGCAATTTTATGTCGTGTCACCGTTAGGCCCAAATTAAGATTTAGTATTCGAAAAGCATCATGACAGTGTGCAAGCACGCAAAGGACGTAAGAACAAAATCATTCAAACAAGAATTGAATCGATTTTAATTACAAAACTTGCCAGTTGGTTAATAACATCGAATCTATTTTACAAAAACTTATTCACATTTCCCCTCAAACTCCTTGTACAATCATTCTACTTCTTTTATAAGGAATCAAAAAGAACAAATATCAAACATCATAGCCACATGGACGAAATTTAATATCCGTAAGAAAGTCTAAATATCAAATAGAAAAACAAATTATGATGAGAACCAATGTATCATGGCAACATCCATCACGAAGTCGTCTCTGATTCTGCAGCGAGTTTCTGACTAGCAACGGGAGATGAAGAGGGCTGGTCAATTTCCTTGCGCGATGCTTCCCACAGTTGCTGCTCTATACCCAACTTCCTTAGCTCCGTCAAACCTCGTTCAGCTGTAACAAAGCACACAATGGAATCCATAAGCCGTGACACAAACTTCAAGGAACTTAAAACAAAGTAGAACATAAGATTCTTTTAAACACTCATGGCTACCCAAAACTTGTACCCTGTTTGATTTGCATCTCAAAAACCCAATATCCAAAAAGAGTTTTAGAAAAATATTTTTTGTACAATAGAACTTGTTTGGTTATACAATTCTAAAAACAGTTATACGGAATAGAAACAGTAAACTTTATTTGGACAGAAACCCATAAAACAATTAAAACAGAAATGTGGCGGTGGTGGAAGTATGATAGTGTTTGTGGTGGTGGTGGTAAAATCTGGAAAGGTTATTTCTAAAAACACACAATAGTTCTAATTCGTTCTCTAAATTTATCCACTTTTTATTCTCACTTTTCAAAAAACAAGAACAAAAAACAGCCGGTGAAACAGTTTTTATCCCGAAAACAGAAAGACAGTTTCTGAGATGTAAACCAAACAAAATTGGTAGTTTGTTCTTGTTTTCCCACAAATTATTCAAAAAATCTCGATAATATTTTGATGTCACTCCATAGGAAAAGGCATTTAGCATAGGAATAGGCAACACAGAAATTATCTCTTTCTTTGCCAACATATAAGCAAATGATGCTAAAAGGCGCGCCAATTTTCTATTATACTACTACATCAGTAAGCTTTAATGCCATATTCCTGTATGGTTGTTAAGATCACTGCCATCTATTTAAAGAAGAATAATTTCCTCACAATTTTGCAAATACAATAGAACTGGCTATGTGAATGAAATCAGAAAACTAAACTCCGTACCCAGAAATTACATTTGATGGAAAGTTTTTTATATCATCACGCAAGTTGTTACTAATCCATTGCTAGTTTAATAACATTACTAAACCTATCAATAAAAGCCCATCCCATCCCGGTAGTCTAACAAATCAGTATTGATTAAATTATTTGTGTGGGCAGAAGGGGTGAGACAACTCAATCATACATCATAATAGTGACTATAGTAGTTCAACACATTAAATAAAAAGTGAGATGGATCTCGAGGCAAAGTTTGCATCCACAGCACCAACTCTGTGACTACACATCAGATATTTTCAACACAAATATCAATTTTCCCTGTACCACTTGAAACTGCATTTCGCATGGCATTATGCACTGAAAAATAACACTAAGAACAGGAAATAGAAATACCATTGACAGCATCATGTGATGTTGGTGACTGCCCACTACGGCTTATCCAAAATTGAAGCCTTTCTTCGGCAATATCCTCTTCTACACCATATACTTTGGCTCTTCTCCAAAAATATGTTAGCCAAGCCTGCAGACAATGTTTGGTTTCAGAAAATAATACATCCTGACATAAAAACATTTCTACTCATCACACAGAAACTGATCAACAGAAATACCAAGTAACTTGATAAGCACAACGTGAATTTTGAAAAATTAATTATGCTGCATTCAGATTGTTTGAAGTTGAAATCAAAAAAGGAAACTGCCCGAGGTGGTTGGCTCTTGTGGTTGTCATGTGTTGCATAAGAAATAGAGCATATTGGCTCTTAATCTAATAATTCAAACTGACAAGGCCACAAGTCCCAACAACTTAGGATGGCTGGTGGATTTGTTTTGTACAAGTTTCTCCCTGTCACCTATCAGATAAGACGTGCATATGGCATGCAAAGAAAATCATGGTCATATGGTTTAACCATATATATCCCTGGTCCTTGCCACTGCAGATGACAAGGTGAGTGAAAGCATATCAAATTTCACTTTCTTACTTCTAAAGAGAAGAAATTGTTCGTGGGAACGCAATTTTATAAGAAGTCTGATAACACGCAACATGGATTTCCTACAGTTAATTACAACTCTCAATGTCATATAGCAATAAAACCGGGGAGTTTGGACGTAATATGAGGGGGGGTAGGGGGTGGGTTGTTTGGAGTTGTCTTCAGTCAGTCCAACCCCCCAAATTGACAAAATCGACGGCGGGTAATACACCATCAGAAAAGTACACAGCATCATCAAAAAACATATATAAACAAAAATGCATCTGACCTCCTTGAAAAGAACATCTTCTGACTCTTCTTGACTTAATTCTGCAAACAAACAAACACCGATATTTAGCCAAAACCATTATGACTACTTTAACTGCACAGTGTAGACCTGCAAACCATATCTCTGGACATTGAACAAGGGTACATGGGATGCATGCAACAACAAAAAAACTCAAACAGGCATGTAAATCCAGATGTAGATGGCTGGAACACTGATGAAGCCTAAATATCGATATAAAAGTTGTTCACTTTAAATCACTCCAGTCTAGAGAGGGGTTAATAGAAAATCAAAAAAACCTATTACCAACCCAAATTTAAATCAGAATTTGTTGTAGCATAAAGTGATATACTGCTTGAATCAGGATTACTGAATGCTGATGCCCATATGCAGAATATAAGCCTCAACTTTCGTATGGGAAGACTAGAAAGCAAATAGATTCATCAAAAAATAGAGCCCATAATCTAGGGCATGCAGAGATTGGTACAGAATGTTAGACAAGCAAATCAGACCAGTTTCTCAGGTCGATCCCCTCATCTATCCAAACATATGAACAACATACTCAACATGCTTTGTCCGTCATGTTGGCAAGTATCTCAGAAGTGTAAGCCATGTGTCCAAAATTTAGGATTCTACTTTATAATATGGATACAACCATGATGTGTCGGATGTGTCAGGGCACTGCAATGGGTACATTTTTAAAGTGAAATCCTCAATTTTAGCAGTTCTAATGTCAAAGGTAGTTTAGAGACAGAATATAACATTTCATTACCAAATGCCTCCATAAACTTGGGATCACCCGATGATTTGGAATCTGCAACCCAAGAAATTTAATTGGCAGTATCAGTGCATATTACCAAACCCATAACCAGATAGTAACCTCTACATTCCATCAAACTAGGGGCGGTGAGAACCAACTAATTCACTTAAAATAGGAACATAATGCAACTAGATATCATTTATAGCAAGACATCACAAACATTTACATGAGGGAGAGCACGTGTGCCATCAGATTATTTTCAAATTGAAATTACAACTCAAACGTACAAAACAAAACAGGATAGGATGTGTAACAATCCAGCTCATTATATCACCAAAAAAATTGCATGCTGGTATGGCTGCCAGATGTCACACTGGGGGAGGGGGGGAGCAGCAGCAGCAACTTTGATACAGTTTAAGGGACAAAAGAAGATGACTATATGTATCTCCAAGGACAAATGAAAAATGATGGTAAGGTTAAAATCCCATCATAAGTGGGATCTAAGAAGGGTAGTAAAGGGCTAATAATTAAGGACTAAAACATATAAAACGCATGCACGAAAACATATATACATGTTTATACTGATAAATAACAGATAAATCCAGGAGATGGGAAAGCCAGGCAGACATATTGTTTTCTTCTGTTATCAATTATCGAAATTTCTAACAAGGTGGTCAACTGGTATAAGGAAGTCGTCAGATAACAATGATTGCACTTATCACCAAAAAAGACAGCTAGAGCAAAGAAAACAAAGCAATCATTCTTCCTCAGAAGAGAAAGAGCATGGTAAAGGGCCATACCAGAAAAGGATTGCCGAATTAAATTCATCCGTCGGTGTCGTGCCAGTGCGATTGCAACAGCATCCTCAATCTTAAAACAGCAGCAGTATAAATTACCAATAATGAAAAGTAAGATAGATAAATGAAAAGGAAAGAAGGAAACAAATGGGATAAGTTGCCTGTTGATGTAAAATGTAACAAAATGTCGAAAACAAAATCCTTGAATGCACAACATTATGGAATCACATGCCCCAAAAAAGAAACCCAAAACAAATCAAATACTGCTAAAATTGAGGAAATTGAAGTCAAAGATGTATGAGAACACCTTCAAGGAAGCCAATTCCTTTAACCCCATTTCAACTGAAAGCATGCTCTCAATGTTTCCTTCCCCAGTTAAATCATTCAAATCGCGAACAAGTTTGCCCCTTTTATCTGAATCATTGCCACCTGCTCCATTTCATAAAAAGAAAAGCCCAATAAGACAGAAAAAGAGACACAAGCAACTTACAATACAGCAATCTAAACTACTATAGCAACAGGAGAAGTTGCCACCATTCCAAGACTCCTCCTTGACCTTTTGCCCAGCAGAAATGACAATTTCAAACGGAAGAGGTGCTAAAGATGACCAATGCTTCTGTTTTGAGACTGCTATGTCCGCACAGATTCCTGTAAAACAGGAAAGCAACAATGGGAAAAAGTAACATGTGATGCAACTACATTCCCGACTCGGCCACTCATTTCAAGATTAAGAGCAAATCAACTGAACCTTTTCAGATTAACCAAGCTTGGAAACTGAAATGGTTATCAAAAAAGTAGAATGACTTCCTACTACTTACTGTTCACATGAAATCAAGTCTTTGTAAACCAGAAACATAAATTCAAGACAGAACGTTATGTAACAGCTACAGGTCTCTAGTTTCATGCAATCCACGGCAAAAAAATAAAATCATGGAAGGGTTTTTGGCCAATCTTTGCGAAATATAATGAAGCAAGTAGATTACCATGTTGCACAGCTAAGGCCCAGTAGCGAGCAAGCCAACACCTCTTCAGAACAACCTCCTCCTGGAACATGAATTCCACCACCCCCAAAAATTAAAATGGGTGGATCGTCAGTAATTTAAGAAAATGAACACCTAGTCATTATTGTCACAATGACATTAAAAAATTACCATCTCTTCATGAGTCAAAATCATTCTCTGGGTCATGGTACGGAGCGCCTTTGCTTCAGATTCAGCTTCCCGAAGCTGTTCTATGGCATTTGCAGTCTCATCTTTTAAATTCTAGTTTGGACAAATTAAAGAAGGTATATAATGATCAGCAGTGTATTGTAAGAATAAAAGAAATTATTAGAGTGCCTAAGGATTAGCATATGCAAACCTCAGCTTCTGCATGAAGGGCAGCAACCTCCTCATCTCTTCTCCCATCCTTCGTTTGCGTTGCAGCTTTAAGAGCAGCCTGAAGCAGAGTATGTTTTGCCAGCTAAGAGCAAACTCCAACAAAGAATGAAATATTGCAAAGAAAAGAGCATGCACACCCTAATAGTTGAGAATCAATTATTCCACTAGAATGGTTGTTACATATTAGTGGAAATTAAATATCTCACAAGTAACCTACTCTAACAAAATCTGCTTCTTTGCTAAGCATTGTCAAATTTATTTATATATGTGCCACCCACTCACCTCTCTTTGACGCAATGCTGCTTCCTTCCTGCAGATTATCAGACAGCCCATCACACACAGAACAATAGGCATCAATATGGAATACGGGAAATAATTCAAGTTTACCTGCTCAACAATTTAGCTTCCAGGGATACACCTTCTCCAAGAGAAGCAACCTGTAGATTTAAAATTTTCCATGAAATATCCAAGCATCCCATATGGTTGTAAAGTTCAATTACTAAGAATGGAATTTAGACAACAAAACCTATGTTAAAATTTACTAAGAAATTAAATGAAGAGCACAGCTTTTCAGATGCAAACAGTGCATAGTGATAAAATGGATGATGTAAAATACATGAAAACACTAGCAAAATGCAGCTTTAAGCACCATTTTAAGGAAAAGTAGTTGTTGAGTCGTCGACATAATTTTCTGGATAGTTTTTCCCCCCACCATTAGAAGGAAAGATTACAAGGAAGATTTAATCTGAAATATAAAAGGAAAGTGGTAACCAAGCTGCAGTATGACATGGTTATCTCCATTAGAAATTGGGGGAAAATATTCCCTCGTAGGGCAGGAAAAAAAAAGAAGCTAACTGATCATATGAAAATGTTTCTTAACGGTGATGTGCAACTTATTCCAAACTCAAAACCTTTAGACAGAACAATGGGAAACAAAGAGTAGTGACAGAGAGTGATTACCTGTTTCTCTAGCTCATTGGCCCTGGCTTCTGCTTCTTCACGTTTTTCTTCTGCACGACGAAGCTGTAGAGCAATGCATTCATCAAGTTACTCAAAAGCAGGCAATATCAGGCACAATCATTTATGTATTGTTGTGTAATGTGGCTCACCTTGTCTAAGATATTCTCGTTCTCTTCTTGTAGCATATCAAGCTGCAATTCAAGCAGATGTCAACTTAATAAAGAATTCAAGGACTGTTTTCTAATATAAAATTTTCCAAAATACAAAACTTATTTACTCATTCAAAATTGAACAATTTGCATAAAGATCTGCAATGTGCTACAAAATAACATTTTTTTTCTATTTTAGAAGTTAACCTTTAGCCTGATAAGGAGATGGTAATTGACAAGAGAAACCAGCTTACCTCATCACGAAGTGCAGAAGCCTCATGCTGATTTCCTGTATCTTTCAAGTCAAAATGTCCCATATCTACTGTAAACCTACAATATTTCCAGTAACCAATAATGCCAACATGCAACCAATGTATCCTCTAGTTTAACTCATTATCCTCTTCTTACTGAGTTACAGATTGCAAGAGATGGATGCTACAGCAAAAGGAACTATAGATGGATGTAATTTTGTACATTCAAGTTGTAATAAAAAAACATATTTATCACTGCTCAAAGCTAAGCCTGCACTCATAGGTTGGCAGGTGGAGAAAAGTACTGCAAAGAATTCAACATCCACATCCGGCTCTAGTTATCCACAGTCACTATTCAAATAAAAGTGTCTAGATTTCTGAATAGAAGCTTGAAACATACAGTAGAGTGACACAGAATCAAATTGGACATAAAACTAGGGTTGGTGCTCACCCAGGATTACCTCATCACTTTGAGAGGAAGGAGAATGAGAATACAAAAGGCAGTAAATCGGTACATATTCAACAAACAAGTAAGCAGTGCAAAAATACTTGCTTATCTGTCTTTTAGCTCGCTATTGTTTCTTCAGTCTTCACCAAAGTCCTCACTAAAATATTAGAATAACATGTAAAGAACACATAATCTACCCGGTAATTTAACTTATAATCAAAGCACCAACATAAGGACCATTTTTTACTTGTAGTATCAATAGGGGGAAAAAAGCTAAATAACCTACTAAGACCCCAAAAAAACATGAGTTAGAATGGTGTCAAAATCTAAATAGGACCAGAGAGAAGCTCATTCAAAATTACATTGAAATTTGGCCAGTGACCACCCTACTCAGACAGTAACTGATCTCTGGATAAGGGGTTAAAAGTTGACTCCTCAAACAAGGATTTCACTCCCTATCTGAAAAAAAAGAAAAGAAAAGAAAAACCACATTGGGGTAAAAAAAAATAAAGAAAATGTAATATTTCTATTTCTGCCTATATTGATATATCTATAGTAAGAGTTAAATAGTGCTTCAAAAATGCATTCAATTACGTTTCCAGCAAAAAATAAAAATAAAAACTAAACGTAAGAACATTTGCTACCTCTTTTCTCTGAGTCTGCTACTAGGAGAATCTATGGAAACCACAGTTCTCAATGATGGTTTACTACTAGGTGGCACTACTGGCGTTGAGCGAACAGACATTGTCGATGGTCTTCCAGCTGATGTGGAACGAACTGAAGGAGTGTGATCCATAAAATTCCGACCTAACTAGATATGAGAACATCCAATTAGGCTTCTGAATTGCAACCAAGGTGGATACATAAAGGCCGCCAAAGAAAATTTTACCAGACAACTACATTCATTTATTATTCAATGTAGTTTAAGAATGACTCATCAATCCACAAAACATGTCCTACTCCTAAAGCATCTTCTTCCATACCACTGACTGTGAAAATTAGCAAAACATTCTTAAAGTTGATGGGTTTGACGTAAGAGACTAGCCATGCTCGAAAATTGTTAAACATGCATAAGTCACTGAGAAAACTTTTTAGGGTGAAAAGCATCTCATTGAAATCATATCAGAACTTCTTGTGGTATGATTGCAACTCACAGAGCCTCCTACAATTCACGAAACACTGATATAGCAAGCCAGAGCTAAGGTATCGGATTTCAAAATTCATCACAAAAATATATTAAAGTTCTCCATGAAATATAATCTTAGTAGAACAAATCAAAGTTGAAGGGGTGGCTACGAATAGATTCAGTATCAGATTCAAAATTGATGCGCATCAAGATACAAACTACCAATTACACTGAAAACATCTCGATCATCATATCCACTACACCAATTCAATCCAACATTTGATTCAATCATATAAACGGACTGCTGCTAAACTCACCGCAGGTGACGGAGATCTGTTAGGTCTAGCAAGCGAAACAGCAGGCAAACCATTCTTAGCATTGCTATTCACGTTTCTAGAAAACGAAGAAGGTGGCGGAGCCGGGAACCGAAACCCTGGATCATCATCTTCTTCGTCATCGTCGGTCGTCTGTGACGCCATAACCAGTGCCAAACGCTGCGCAGCTGCTTTAGCGGCTACGTTTTGAGTCCTCTTGATTGTAGAGAACCCGCTCGACGGCGGTAACCGCGAGTGAGGATGAGCCGGCGACCTCGCCGGAGACGATGAGCCTGTGCTGCTCGAACCTCCACTCCACTGCCTAGAGTACACCGGACTCTCAGTTCTTCTCCGATCCATATATAGAGATTCGTCTATATATACAACTGTCCAATTATGGAGAGAATTTTGATGGGAGAGCTAGATTCTAGAGAAAATTTAAGAAGATTGTGCTAGATTTTCTTTGAACAAAAGAGCAAGGAAATCGGTTGATCGGATTGAATTGGGATTTGAGGCAAAATTGAGAGGAGGGTTTGAGAGCGTAGTCTCTCTCTCTGAGCTCCGTTGATGGAGAATTGACGGCGAGTACGGAAAGTGAAACTGAGAGACCACGTCGTTAAATAAAATAATTAAATATCATGGGATCTGACTCATCTAATACATTTGGCGAGTGACAGTTGACACGAAGAAAGGACCGACGTAAGCTCAAGCAGCAGAAAATTTTTGATACCAGTGCTAACAAATATAAATATATAAATGAAGAATGCTGCTTTGTACAAGAAGCTGTCGTTGTAGTATAGTGGTGAGTATTCCCGCCTGTCACGCGGGTGACCCGGGTTCGATCCCCGGCAACGGCGCATTTTTTGTTTTCAAGTAGTTTGCGTTCTACCTTTTGAGAGGTATTTCACAGTCAAGCTGGCAGATTGACCAAATTGAGCTATTATTCTACCTTGTCAGCGCAAATTATTTTTTTATCTCGAACTATTATTTTGGATTTTTTTTCTATCATGATTAGAAGAAATGGAGATTTAAACTGGAGCCAAGAAAAGTGTTTGATTTGTTCAAATAATATATTGTGAGTTCAAATTCAAAAATTAATCACTATTCACTTTAAAAAAAAAAGGAGTTTTCAAAATATGCTGAAAATTTTTATCACTTATGCTCCGTTTGGTAGGGAGGATGAAAAGTATGAGAGATATACTTTCTATCTTTCAAGGATGGAAAGTAGAAATGATACACTTTCCTTCTTTTGTGTTTGGTTGGATGAATGAAAAATAAAAATAACTATTTTTTTTTTTATGATGGCTAAGATTAAGAATGACAATCGAGTCGTGTCGTGTCAGATTTGTGTTGAGTCATTACGAGTTTGTGTCGAATAAATCAAATCTAATTTAACTCATTAAACTAATTTGTGTCGTGTCGAGTTACAAATTAACCTGTTTATTTTCGTATCAAGTTCGAGTCGTGTCATTGTGTTGAGTCGAAAATTTTTATCCTTAGTTAAGATGAACTTTTTTTTTTTAATATTCAATTTTTTTAAAAAAATTGAATATTTTTTTAAATATATATATATAATATATATACATACATATTTTACCGTTGTATTTTTATATGAATTTAATATATACATAATATATGTATATATAAAAAGATATATAGACAAATAAGATACATCTCAACACATATAATTAATTTTTCATCTAGTGTCCTTCCGATTTTGGAGGGATTAATTTTGGTAAGTTGGAAGGAAAATTATTCCATCCACTTTTTCATTTTTCTTACTTTTCTTTCTTACCAAACATGATGTTTTATTTATCTCTCCAACTTTTCATTTTTTCAAGTTTTCATCCTCCCACTTTTCCATTGTATCAAACGGAGCATTATAATTCTCATCCCTCTACAAACAAAAGATTTGTGCATCGAGTATGATTTTCTTTCTTTAGTTGTNAAAGTGCTCTTGTACAACTCTCGTCTCTCGATCTTCCAAGGCAAACTCCGATCCCATTGGGATGGCCCCTTTCTTGTCAAGGTGGCCTACCCCAATGGAATTGTGGAAGTCACAAACCCCAAGAATGGCCAGACATTCAAGGTCAATGGCTAAAGACTCAAGCCATTTTTCGAAGGTTTTGAAGGACAATGTTTGGAGAAGGACTTGACGGATCCGCTGTATCTAGAATTTGTNTCTTGTCAAGGTGGCCTACCCCAATGGAATTGTGGAAGTCACAAACCCCAAGAATGGCCAGACATTCAAGGTCAATGGCTAAAGACTCAAGCCATTTTTCGAAGGTTTTGAAGGACAATGTTTGGAGAAGGACTTGACGGATCCGCTGTATCTAGAATTTGTGGAGGAATAACCAATTTTTATGCTTTTTAGTGTACAGTCTTTTTATTTACTCATGTTATTTTTCATGTTACTACTTGGTCGTATAACATTTTTTTTTTTTAGTTTCAGATACTGGTGCGTTGGTCAAAACTCAAGTGCGAGGTGTTCTCTAACTCTACTCATCTTTTTACTGTCTGTCATTAAATATCATTTTTTTGTTGCATTGAGGACAATGCATTAATCAAGATAGGCGGTGAGGTGCACCTTTTGCATCTGACACCAATGTTTGTGGGAATATTTCGTGCAGATATTTGNGGTGTTCTCTAACTCTACTCATCTTTTTACTGTCTGTCATTAAATATCATTTTTTTGTTGCATTGAGGACAATGCATGAATCAAGATAGGCGGTGAGGTGCACCTTTTGCATCTGACACCAATGTTTGTGGGAATATTTCGTGCAGATATTCGTGTCTACCGACACTCGCGCCTGCTGACACTTAAATGGATTAGGTCAAAAAAAAATTGATCCACTGGGATGCCTTTATAAAACCTCCAACCCTTTTTCCCCATCCACCGGTGTTGGCCCCCCTTCTTCTTCCCTTCTTCTTTTCTTCTTCTTCTTCTTCTTCGTTGTTCTCTCTATTCTCTATAAAAACAACTCACCCCCTTGCAAATCCATGACCATATACGTTGACGACCCAGTCCTTTGTTTAATAATTTGTCTTATATGTTTGTATTTGTACATGGGTGCTCTTCTTCTGCTCGTACTTAAGGTGAGCGATTTTCAGCCTAGCCCAAATCTCCCTAGCGATGATTAATTGTTGTGTTTTATTTGTAGGTTTTTAGTAGATGAATAGATCTCTACCTTACAACCTTATTTCCAAACTCCATACACTGGTAAATTCGAAACATTTGGGACAATGTTTGGTTTAAGTTGGGGGGTGTGATCTATAGTTTCAATTTGTTCTAGTTTCGGTTCCAGTTTGTTATAGTTTCGTATTTTAAAAAAAAAATTCTGTTTATTTTTATTTTGGATTGCGTATTTTTACAGNATTTGTTCTAGTTTCGGTTCCAGTTTGTTATAGTTTCGTATTTTAAAAAAAAAATTCTGTTTATTTTTATTTTGGATTGCGTATTTTTACAGTATTTTTTTTATATTTCATGATCATATTGAATGCAGCTTCAATTGTCTTTGCAACAGGCAGACATTAAAGAACCAGATAGGGTGTCTTCAGTTTAGCAAGCATCGATAGTAAATTTATTTGGTTCAGTTTTGGTGTTTTATGCACTTTTCCATCCGATGTGCATGCTGTGATAATGAGAAAAGCAAGAGTTGTGAGAANTCCATCTGTGGAAAAAATACTAGAGAGAATCAGGATCCATAAGAAAAACGTTGAATAAAAAATTACCAACATGAGAGAGTCTTTAAAACACTGAATTCGTTGCAATGTGAAACTATGACTATTCATAAGTATGCCTTTAAAGCAAGAGTCTCTTTGGTTAGGTTTGAATAAATTCAAGAGAGGTTCTCTCTCCCTAATTTACAGTTCGAGGGGATCGTAGTCTACATTCATATAGGGAGTGGGCTGAGAAAGCCTAANCTAGGAGCTTGTAAACAATGTGGCAAGTGCTTTCACATGAAAAAATACAATCAGTGTTCTGAACTAATTTCGGGTCATGCAACCGATCAATTAAACAGGATGGGCAGAGTANGGGGTAGTCATAGTTTAATGTAGCAATCGATACCGATATGAATTGGTCGATTTATATACAATTTGACACTTTTCGAGACAATATCGATATATGATACATATAAATTTTGAATCTTGCAAGACTCAGCCGAGTCGTCCAAGTGGTATTCGAATCAATCTTGAGTCGTTGAGTTATCGTCATCGAATCGGTCATTTCCGCAATGTGACTTGAAACTCTTATCATGTTAAAACATTTTCTTTTAAGTCGTATCACCTAATACCACGCCGTGACCAATGTGTCTCAGAGCTATCCGAGTCAATGGCTGATATTGCAAACTTGAACCACGTGGGTAACAGAATGAATGTTAGTAGTTAAATAATGATCACTATATGGCCCAAGGGTGAGAAAGTAACAAGCAGTTNGCTATCCGAGTCAATGGCTGATATTGCAAACTTGAACCACGTGGGTAACAGAATGAATGTTAGTAGTTAAATAATGATCACTATATGGCCCAAGGGTGAGAAAGTAACAAGCAGTTGCAAAGGATAGCAAATCCAGTTCTTTTAAAAGCAAAAACACCATGTCTAAATCGGTGGTTTCTCGATACAACAAGATTTGCAAGAATTGGTACTTTGATTTCAATCTAGCTTTCTGAACAATAAACAAAGGTACAAAACAAGGAAAACCTAGATCCATCCGGTAATCCCACGAACCTTCTAATCAAGTTCTCATTAGGCAATCTCAGCAATCGGCTCAATTTCTAAGCTCCACTTTTCTTTTGAACAAGTTTTTCTATCAATTCAGCAGCTTCTTGGACGGTGGTTATGTTCTGAGAGTTATCTTCTTCAACAATAATGCCATACTCTTCCTCCAGCCCCATCACTATTTCCACCTGCACAAATTCATATGGTCAATGTACTTGCAATGTTGATCACCAACCAACAATCGTAGGCAGTTCGATCTAATCACTGGGCAACACGAAAGCTTTATTGTTAAATGTTTAGGAAAATGTCAAACGAACATCAAACTAATAAGAAGATAACACTCACTGTGTCAAGGGAGTCAGCACCAAGATCTGAAAACTTTGATGCAGAGTGGAGCTCAGACTCGGCAGGCAAAGCCAATTGCTTCCTCACAATTTCACATACTTTCTGCACTGTCTCAGGCTTTGCCTGGCAATTTATGCTGTACAAGTTAATTCATTTCTAGAGAAAGATAATTTGAGAGTGAAAATTAATGGCCAGTGAGGGAAAAACTAGAAGGGGAGCGTAAAAATACCGCGCAAGAGACTTGGAAGCGGGAGGTTCTCAGAGAAGGGGAACCACCACTTGCCCAAGCCAGGGAAACCAGCTTCAAACTAGGTGTTATTCCCATCTGTAAATATGAACACCACAGACATAATTATGGTGCCGTTTACTAACATTGTATTTTTGTTTATTTTATTTTATTTTATTTTATGGCAAACTTAAAAAAAGTGTTTGGTGAATGTTTTCATTTTTTTTAACTGCTGCGTTTTGAAAACAAGACTAATATATGGAAACATTCAAAAGGATTTTTTGAAAACATCAAAAAAAAAAAAAAAACAAATATGCAATTCAAAATGTCTCATTTAATGAGATTCTGGCTTCGAACCTC